CCCCAGCCCACCCCCCCTAGGCAAGGGCACCTCCTCACCAGAACCACTGCCACTTTTCTCTGGACTTGGTCCACAGCTCCTTCATTCTGCTCTGCACCTGGCTCCAGCGACTCTCTTTCAGCTTGGGCGTCGGAGAGCCCGGGGTCCCTGAGGGCCCGTCATCCTGGCACACTAGGTGGGAACAGAGGAGCTTGGGTGGGCGGGGCCCAAGCCCCTCCTCCCACCCCCCTCTAGGCTCACTCTTACTTTCACTCCTGGGGATCATTCAGACCCCTGACCACCGGCCTTCGTCTCCTCTCTCGCCCCGACCACTGCCCCTCTCGACCACTGGTCATCTCCCCACATCTTCTGTGCCAGAGACAGCCGGCCACCCCTCTGCCTGGCGTGTCCTGCCTCAGTCTGTAACCCCACCTCCTTGTCCCCCTCTGAGGCCTCCTTCCATGTCCTGATCTTCTGCCAGACACACCCCATACCCCTCAGTCCTCCTGTGGACCCCAGCCCTCTCTGCACTCCTTCCTCAGGCAGTGGAGGAAGGCCTGGGAGGACTTTCCGCCCCCCCAGGGATGAAGGACACTTGAGAGATGCTGTCAGAACCCCTGCTGGTCCAGGGGCTGTGGCTCGGATCCAAAGTCACTTCCTTGCACAGAATTGCCTGTGTCCTTGTTGTTAGCTGCAGTCGAGTGGGTTCTGACCATAGCAAGCCCACGTGTGCAGTCGGCCTGCTCCACAGGGTTTCCAAGGCTGTGACCTTCGGAAACAGATTTCCGGGCCTGTCTTCTGAGGCACCTCTGGGTGGGTTCACACTGCCAACCTTTTGGCTAGTGGTCGAGCCCTTCACCACTTGGGCCACCCAGGACTATTCTCATTCTGTAGAATGGAACGGTAGTGGCGCCTTCCACACGAGGTGATCATGAGAATTAAGATTCAGTACATAGAGGGCACTTCGAAGTAGATTGCCCCATCTTCCTTCCACGGAATGGCTCGTGGGTTTGAACCACCCAACTTCTGGTTAGTAGTCAAATGCTCTAGGCACTATGCTAACAGAGCTCCTGGGTTTTCCTTATTTGGGGCCATATAAGACACTTAGAATGGTACCTAGACTATTGTAGGTGCCCATTTGCTTTAAAAGGAGCCCCCGTGGCACAGTGGTTAAGTGTTTGGCTACTAATTAATTAGCAGTTTGAACTCACCAGCAGCTCTGCAGAAGAAAGATGTGGCAGTCTGTTTCCATAAAGATTACCAAAAAACCCCCTGCCATGGAGTCGATTCTGACTCACGGTGCCCCTAGCGGACAGAGCAGAACTGCTCCATAGGGTTTCCAAGGCCGTCAATCTTTACGGAAGCAGAATGTCTCATCTTTCTCCCATGGAGCAGCTGGTGGGTTCAAACCATCAACTTTTGGTTAGGAGTCGAATGCTTTAACCACTCCACCACCAGAGCTCCTCCCATAAAGATTACAGCCTTGGAAACCCTGTGGGGCAGTTCTACTCTGTTCTGTAGGGTCTCTGCGAGTCGGAATCAATTTGACTGCAAGGGGTTTGGTTTGGATTTGGAGGTATGTTAAATAAAATTGTTGTGAATATGAAAATTTTAATTTTCAAATATAAAATTTCAAGCATGCTGTGTTTATACATTTTATGTTTTATGCATATGAAAATCTCAGACGTATTCACATTCCGGGGTGCACTCATGGTCATGCACACGTGTCCACACAAACAGAAATACCACTATCTGTTCACATGTATATCCCTTGGAGACACACATATGCAAGTTCATGGCTTACACTTATAGAACACTTACATACACTTATAGAACACAACCACACACTCTTCTGTTTACACACACAAATGTACCTATGACCACTATTATACCAGCCCCAGGTACATATATCATACACAGCTACCAACAGCTCACACACACACACACACATGCCACTAAGCACACAAACTTCATGTCTGCAAACATGCACACGATGACAGCTACCAAGAGCTCTCACACACACACACACGCCACTAAGCACACAAACTTCACGTCTGCAAACATGCACGCCATGACAGCTACCAACAGCTCTGTCACACACACACACATGCTACTAAGCACACAAACTTCACGTCTGCAAACATGTACGCCATGACAGCTACCAGCAACTCACACACACACACACACACACATGCCACTAAGCACACAAACTTCACGTCTGCAAACATGCACGCCATGACAGCTACCAACAGCTCTTTCTCACACACACACACACACACACATGCCACTAAGCACACAAACTTCACATCTGCAAACATGTACTCCATGACAGCTACCAACAGCTCACACACACACACACACACACATGCCACTAAGCACACAAACTTCATGTCTGCAAACATGCACGCCATGACAGCTACCAACAGCTCTCTCACACACACACACACCACTAAGCACATAAACTTCACGTCTGCAAACATGCACGCCATGACAGCTACCAACAGCTCACACACACACACACACATACATGCCACTAAGCACACAAACTTCATGTCTGCAAACATGCACGCCAGGCAGCCAGTCACACTCACACTCCACCCAGCCCCCGGGTCCCCACACCGCCCCCCGTTCCCCCTCACCCCCTGTGCAGGCCAGGAGCAGAATGCAGAAGCACAGGAAGGGCAGGACCCAGAGCCTGCTTCCAGGGAGTGACATTTCTAGGGGCTCCTCCGTCCCTGTGTCCCTCTGGGCTCAGCTCTCCCAGCTGGGGGAAAGGGAAGGAGCATTGAGCAGGGCCTTCCCTAGCCACCTCCCCACGCCCCTTGGCATGGACTTCAGTGACAGTGACAATCAGAGGCCATGGCTGCCCCCGATGACCTCTGTCCTCCCGCCTTCCCTGATAGGCAGGAAGACAGAAGGCGCTTTGGTCTCCTGCACTGAACCAGGTTCAAATCCCAACTCCCCTTCCCATGGCAGCTCCTCTCTCTGGGCCTTAGGTTCTTCTTCTGTGAAATGGGGCTGCAACCCACAGTTGAGGACGTTGATTGAATGACTTGATACATGGGAAATTCTCTTACTGCTGCTGTTGTATATTTACATGACCGGAAGAACAAGACTGTGCCCAGCTACCACTATTGACCATTCCAACCAGGACACGGTGGATGGACCCTGGTAGAGTGGGAGAAAAAACTGTGACCAGAAGAACCTCAAATTCCTCAAAACCAAACCAAACAAAAAGCAGACCTGCTGGGCTGGTTGAAACCGGAGGACTCCCTTATGCTACCTTGGCCTAAGATGCTCTTCAAACTTGGAACCGAAACTAACTCTCATCTTATAGCTAAATAGCACATTGGCTCAAAAAAAAAATAAAATAAAATAAAATAATGAACATCACCCATAAGTACTGTGCTCATTGAAAAAATCACCAACATGAGACCAAACAGCCAAAGACGACTTTAAAACAAACATTAGACAGTGAGGGGGCAGAGAAACTCGATGAACGGAAACAACAACCAGAGCAGAGCAAAGGACAGCCTTTACACAGTGTCACTCTTTCAACCACTAAATTGTTGAATGGGAACCCAACCTGTTGAGTAAACCTTCACCGAAAACACAATCAAATATTACATATAAAAAAAGAAATCTGTAGTTAGCACAACGTTTGCCGATTTAACATTTTTCAAATGTACAATTTAGGGATATTGATGATATCAGTCGTGTTGTGCAACCAGTACCCATAATGGTTGCCAAATTTTCCAACCCTGTCAACAGAAACTCACAGGTTCCCAGTGACTCCTCCTCCCTCCCTCTCACCGCAGGGAAACCAAAACCAGTGGGAGTCAGTTCCAACTCTCGTGGCCCCACGTGTGTCAGGTCCACAGGGGTTTCAACAGCGGGTTTTCAGTAGATCACCAGACCTTTCTTCCAAGGCGCCTCTGAGAAGAAAATGCAGAGAGACTAAAGTTTATTAGTGACGGACATTTTTGGCTATTGTCAATAGTGCTACAGTGAACCTTGGTATCCAAGTACCCAGGAGCCCAGACGGCACAGTGGCTAAGTGCTTGTCTGCTAACCGAAAGGTTGACGGTTTGAACTCCCTGGTTGCTCTGTGGGAGAAAGATGTGGCAGTCCATTTCCATAAAGATTTACAACCTAGGAAATTCTATGAGGCAGGTCTTCTCTGTCCCATAGGGTTGCTGTTGTTGTTGTTTGCCATCAAGCCAGATCCGACTCATAGCGACCCCTCCTTGGGTTGCCGAGGTGGTATCACTACAGAAGCAGATTGCCCAACCTTCCTTCCGAGGAGTGGCTGGTGG